GAGCGGCGGACGAATGGAGCCTTTAGCAGAGTGTCATTCGAGCAATGCACGTGATTCGTCACGTCTTTTCATGACAGAATAAGATGTTAGAAATACCTATTGCTATCTATCTATCTATCTATCTATCTATCTATCTATCTATCTATCTATCTATCTATATATCTATCTATCTATCTTCGTCTGTTCGCGTCACGTAGTACCAAATTTGGTATATGTGAAGCTAAGAAAACGGCCGAGAGCACATCAGGAGCTTGGTATGTAGTCATGTTCTTTCATGACACCCATGTCATGATTAGCATGTTTGCACCAGTCATATGCCTTGGTCATTTCGTACATGTGAAGCTAGCGAGACGACAGCGAATGCACAATGAGCGTGGCGCGTAATAAGACTCAACTGGCATGCCCGTCATGATTTCCACGTAAGGGCCTGTCACTATTGCTTGCCGTTTAGTCATATCATACCACACCAGTTTTTGGAATATATCATGTGAACGAAACCACCACAAGATCAGGAAAACCATAACATGTATACATAACATTCATGACATACATGTCATGATTTTCATGTAATGACTAATTATTTATGCTTGCAATGCAGTCATGTTATGCCATAATAATTTTAAAAACGATCCCGTTGCGAAAACGGCCAGGAAAGCCAAAATTCGTAGATAGATAGATAGATAGATAGATAGATAGATAGATAGATAGATAGATAGATAGATAGATAGATAGATAGATAGATAGATAGATAGATAGATAGATAGATAGATAGATAGATAGATAGATAGATAGATAGATAGATAGATAGATAGATAGATAGATAGATAGATAGATAGATAGATAGATAGATAGATAGATAGATAGATAGATAGATAGCAATGGGTATTTCTAACATTTTATTCTGTTATGAAAGATAGATAGATACATAGATAGCAATGGGTATTTCTAATACTTTATTCTGTTTAAAAAGACGTGAGGAATCCCGTGCATTGCACTTTTTTTTTCTTTTTTATTTGAATATGTGGCTTTTCCAGTGGGATCGCGTGCCGTCGAGGGGACAAGTTGCGGCCTCCCGCGGTGATCCTTATAACGTTCGAGCGCGCCATTTTCAAATCAGTCAATGGCTGATTGAAGGCTTTGTACGATTGCCCCGGCGCGATGGTCTTTCCGGAGCCCTCCACTACGGCGTCTGTCGTAATCATAAGGTGGTTTTGGGACGTTAAACCCCACATATCAATCATCAATCAAGGCCTTGTACGATTGATTTTGACCGTCGTCCGTCTGTTGTCGAGAGAAAAAAAAAAACACTTTTAAGTTGACTTTGATAGTTTATTGTGAAGTCCAGGTCTAGTGCTGCGCTATAATATTTGGTTCTCATGTTCTCGGGAGCGTCTGCTATCAATCCGTAGTTTTTTATAACAGTGCACACAAAGCGTTGCAGGAACGTTTTAGTTTTTTGTTTTGATTACCAACTGGAGTGCAGTTTTTCTAAATCAGAAAGTTATGTTTATATAAAAAATATTATTTGCCCCTATTTTTAGATAAAGAAAAGAACACTACGTGCAAAACGCGAAAATAAGTTATCCCCTTGTGTATTCGCAACTTTCACAGATGGTGGCGTTCCATGCGGCATCCGTCGTAACTGTTGTTTGGCGGATGCCCACGCAGCCAGCCCATGCCATCATTCAGTCGGCCTCACTTTGGCAGTTCACGGGTGCTTTATATTTCGTCGCTGGCAATTTCTACTACGATTATTCTCGATTCGGTAGTGAACTGCCGAAGTCGAACAGGCACTGCGAGTCGTAGTACCAATGATTTACTCTTTATTGTTTGCTTCCTGAGCGTGTAGTATCACAAAATATGTTGAATCACACTGTGCAGGCGCTGTGCTGTCACAGACGAGATTTCCTGCTTTGCACGAGCACGGCCGCTCCATCTTCCACGGCCGTGGCACGAGCAGTGTTCATAAGACTGATATAGCCTTAGGCATGCGTAACGAAAAGGCCACCTTTGTCCTCAAGAATTTTCCGGCGGCGTAACGCAATTTCGCCAGAGATCAAGTCAGCCCGTTAGCACATTCAATTCGGCAACAGGCTACAGCCTGTTGTCAAGAGGGTCAGTGGATACAACTGGTACGAGACCCAGGGCACACAGGAGTTAGAGGCACTGAACATGCTCATGCCTCCGCCAGCTATCTCTTACACCGGGCCTCCATCGCTTCGTCCACAGCACACCTTATTGCTGAACAGGCCGATTCCGAGCCTGTCCTTTCGTATACTAACATCCTGCAACACATCAGGCTTAATACACGCTTTCTACCCCCACCTGACCCTAAATTAAATAAGGCATCGCAGGTCGCGTGGACACGACTGCAACCATCAGCATTTCCAAATCCTATATTGTCAAAGACAGACCCTTCGATGCGGAATCCGCAGCGTAAATTCTGTCCCCAGGCGGCCACTTTATTTCACATATAGTCTTGGAGTGCCAAAATAATCGCAGTATATCGGACAATCATAATCCTACATTAGTCTAGTGAGAGGCGACCCTGTCCAATTGTGACCCAGTGCAGCAACAAGCCCTTGTCGACCAAGCTCGGATGGCGGCAAGAGCTAATAGTCTTCTGGACTAGGAGGTGCAACGACTATAGCAACCTATTTATTACAAACAAATGTTATATTCCATCTCTCTCACCGGTCGTGGCGCGAGCAGGGTTCACAAAGCTGTACTTGCATTCCTTCACACCGCAGCAGACGATGTTCCCGGCGTTCAAAACTTATTTTCCTTCAATATAAGCCGCATACGCATTTCTCAACACGCAGTGTAGGAAATAATACATGCTAGAGTCAATGACCTTATCAGCAAAGCTTTGACAACACGGCGGCTGCAGCCGAAGATACTATGCAGTTCGAAGTGACGGGCACACCAGCGCCTGCTGCCGGTGCGCCGGCTGCACTATCCCCCAAACGACAGCCATGTTGGGCTTGCACCAGTGCCCTCTCTAGGGTTGAAAGTTGCGAATTTCAAACAACTTGTAATTTTGCATGGCGAGATTTTCGCTCTCACGTGACACACCGGCAGAGTTTTCGTTGCGGCCGCCGTGCATAGCCTCAATATCGCCTAGATCTAGCCCTTCAATTTGAAGTATTGAGGGACCCCTGACCTCAAAGTCGAAACTCGAGGTGACCGGGTTGTTTGATTATCCTGCATACGTCGGTACTTCTGGCCACCTATTAGTGCCGAACGTTGCCTTTAAGGTATTTTCGTTTGGTTTTAAAGTAAGCGTGAATGTTCACAGTTTTCAATAATTGATTGATATGTACGGTTTAACGTCCCAAAACCACCATATGATTATGAGAGACGCCGTAGTGGAAGGCTCCGGAAATTTCGCCCACCTGGGGTTCTTTAACGTGCACCCAAATCTGAGCACACAGGCCTACAGCATTTCCGCCTCCACCGGCAATGCAGCTGCCGCAGCCGGGATTCAAACCAGCGACCTGCGATGCTCACAGTTTTGAGCCCTAGGCAACAACGTCACTAGTATGACGTAGACAGAGGCCCCTGTGAAGTCCCACAAGAACAGCAAGTATTGTCGATGTCAGAGAAGATTCGCGGGGAGCACACAATACTACGACTGGCGCCCTACAAGGTCCATTGTTCCTCGCCCTCTTGCCCTGTTGTCGGGCTTCTTTATAGGTGGTTGTAGCTGGTTACGAGAGGAATGCATTTCTTTTTCATTGAAAGAACGCACCTTTGAACAGGAGTAACTCCTATACCGAAGCATCCATATCGTTTCATTTTATACCACGCAAAAGGCCCCAATTTAAACACTGTGCTTTCAACGTCGCCAAAGCATCAGCGCACGTGTTCTCAGGCCCTCCCCTACTGTGAGGTGCCAGTTTCGTGCAATTTTAGGGGCGTGTTTCGAATTGACGCTAAATTGGACACAGTTAGCGGCGCAATTGTTAATTATGCGATACGTTAGAGCACTTACAATTCTGTTTTGGCGTTGTCAGACACACGGATGTAAATTAGAGGAAAAAAGTAACAGAAGACAATTTCGCGTAGACGGTCCTTGATATCTTAAACTGCGTTTCTTTTTCTTTGTACTTCAGAAAAATGGCTCGTACAGTGTCACGTCCTACAAATATTCGCTACAAAAAAATTTTGTAACCTTAGTAATTCATTCTCTTGATTATCGAATTGTTGATCGTTCGTCATTTGTGTTACTTTAGGTGCAGCAAAGTATTTGAGCCTTTGTGCTCTTTGCGTACGAAGACGACAGATGTCTTACTGTCATAACTTCTTTATATTTAAAAAATTTGTTTCATTTAAAAAGAAGAATGTTAGGCATTGTGAACGCGGATGTTACGGGCGGAGTCTGAAGCCAGTAATAGAAGCGACGCTCAATTATACACACACAAAGTCACACACACACACACACACACACACACAGACACACATGCACACGCAAAGGTAATATTGAAATGTTTCTGCCATCTGCGCTTTTTCCGCCGGTTTATTCACAAATCAAGTGTCCAAATTATGCATCTTCTTCAGAACAAGATGGGGAATATATGAAATATTGGTAACATTTTTTACTCTGTTACGTTGACCCGCACAAGGTGGCTAACCTGCTACGCACTTCTTAACTGCAGCATGCCTTAGTCTTGTAGATGTAGTGACATATATATATATATATATATATATATATATATATATATATATATATATATATATATATATATATATATATATATATATATATTAAGAGGATATTGACGCTGAATCTGCACTTCAGCTCTTTTTTATTTTAGTATTTTTAAATGCTCGCGGCACTTTCAACATTCTGCGTGCCTCAAAAATATGCGCAAATTGGGGTGATTAGCGCCTATTCTGGTGAGATATCCGTTGTGCACAACAGAAAAATGATTAGTTTTATGACTGCGTTGTGCTGTAATAAATTGGTGTACCGTCTCGTGTCGTAAATGCACCGCATTTTCAGGTGGTGGCGTTCGGTTCTGGTGCACAATGGTCTACTGCAATGTCATCGGTTGCTGCACCCTGGAGTCATTTTTGGTGAGCGGAGATAAAAGGGTTAATCTTTGCAGTTGCTGCACTGTAGTCGTGTCTGTTTGTGCGAAACATGCCTTTCTTGTTTTTCTGGTGAAGAATAGAAAAGAAAATGAAAATGAAATGAATACAGGGAAGAAACAATGAAAACAGTATAAGGATGCAGCTTCGTGCTGCATTTGTTCGAGACATCACCGCTCCAGATTCTAAGGCCAGATTCTAAGTCCTTGAATATCGGTATACGCACGTGTGCAGGTGGTGCAGATTTGACTGTGAATTCAAATCATGCGTACGCGCTTTCCTTACCAACACACCACGTTGGTCACCCTGCCTCGAAAGGGTAGGCTGTCACGGTACACGCTATATACGCTGATGTAATCGAGTTGCGCAAGATGGCTGCTCTTACCGCAACACCAGGAAACCGGTTTAGAACACGATCGACCCAATATTTTTAGCCACCATTATTTAACGGTGCCACTTCAGTCTTCGCATTACCTTTTTTTTTCTTTTTTTTTTCAGCAACAGCGAGGTCGGTATTTGCTCTGCCTATAGCGAGAGATAGACTGGAAAAATCCGATAAATCCCTCCGTAAGCACAACCGTCCGCCTTTCCTAGGACACCGTCGTAAACACGGACGTATCGCAGCTGGCCTATAAGATTGCTATAGCTAGTCCAAGAAGTGATTTGAAAGTATTTCCGTGTTTTTGCGTTACATTTGTTTCCAGTTCAAGGACAATGTCATTATCATCGCACGTGTTATGCAGATGTCGTGGTCTCTTCTTATTTTCTTCAAGAGTGCGAAGCTTTTTTTTTTGTCCACCTCGCCTTCGTATTTGCTTTATCATTTTCATGCTTTATTTGAACAAAGAGCAAGTATAATCGCTAAGCTTTCCTTGGCGCACAATTTGCGAGAAAATAAAGCCATATTCTTTGCTTCATTTTCCTTCGTTTTTATAGTCAATTTATTTATCTAATAAATTATTTATTTATTTATTTATTTATTTATTTATTTATTTATTTATTTATTTATTTATTTATTTATTTATATTGAGATCCCATAAATGCTACAGCATCAATTATCTGGAACGCAAATACTAGGTTGCAAGGTTCGTTTCAACATAATTTTCAATGTCAGGGATACCTGTAATAAAAAAACAAAGGCGGTTGCAGTCCGTGCATGCGTGCAATATAAAATAATAAAATATGCATCAGAACAATAGGAAAGGTAGATGCGAGATTAGATCAATGAAAGATGTGAAAATAAACCTTCCTTAAAATGATAAAGGGATCGTAAGTGTATCTTACGCATCAAGGCGAGACGTCCTTTTTTTTTCCATGAAATCGATGAAAGGTGTCATTGCGGTTTTAATTATTAAAGAGACTGATAAGATAAAACTGCGGTTCATACAGGTTCAATGAATACCTGCAGATGTGCATTCATTCATGAATGAATGGGTCTCAGAAATCGAGTGGGCGATTCTTTTTTTTTTTTTGTGAACGAATATTTTACAAATAAGCAGTTTTAAGGCAGTGGTAAGTGAACAGTTTTATCAGGTAGCCACTCATGCGGTTAGCGTCATTTAAGACTTCATTATTATCTATTTATCAAAAACGTTACAATAAGCGCCGACTTCTAAGAATACTTGTGAGGAGTCAGTTCTTCTTATACAGAGTTATTCATCATCAATCATCATTTTCTTGCTTCTAGGGCAAGACGAAGGCCTCTCCTAATGATATCCAGTCAACTCTCTCCTGTACCAGCTTATTCCATTTTATTCCTGTGAATTTCTTAACTTCGTCACACCATCCAAATTTCTGTATTCCCTGACAGCGTTTCCAATTCCTTGGTAGGGATATCGTTGCTCTTACAGTTCATCGGCTGCCTGTTCTACGCGTTGGGTGGCCAGCCCAGTCCCATTCCTTTCGCTTGATTTCAACAAGGATATGCGCAACTCTCGTTTATTTCCTGCCTAGTGCACCATCTTTTAATTTCGTAATGTTATTCCAATCATAATTATTTCACTGCTCGCTGCGTGGGTCGTCAGTTGCTTTTCCAGCTGTATCGTTATTTTCCTTGTTTCAGCGCCATACATCGGAACTGGCAGTATGCGGTGGTTGTATAAATATCGCATTTCGCTAAGCGTAAACTGTTTTCGTAAAAGTGATAGAAAAGGTGCCCCAGAAGAGAGTCATGGGAAAGACCTAAATTGACAAAATAAAGATAATAATAGGCATTGACACTCACAAATTGCTGCGACTCAAAACGTTTTCTGTTTTTTTTTTTTTCAGGCAAGTGCGTCACCACCAAAATGTAGTTTACTGAGTCTAAAATAAAGCCACTTATCGCAAAAAAGGGCGAATAAGAGTTCATGAGCAAACTAAACTAAATTTGAGTCACTCCAATAATGTAGAATTATCTTGCGTGCACATGTCATGCTCATGAAGTGTGCAGAAATAATCAGCAGAAGCAAAGCAATCCATTACGGAACAACTGGTGTACCAAGTAAAATATATTATGAGATATATTGTGCTAAATATGAAATTATTATAACTAGAGGTTAATACTACGCCTTGTTGTCTAGCTTATGTTTATTTACATTGCAAAATAGTGCAGTTCCAAGTCTGAGCCAAAATTTCACCCTTAACAAATGAACGAATTACCGCTGTCACGTTCACATGATCGACGTCAGACTATCGCAGCATACCTGATGTCTGATGTTCCTAACTCGTAATCTACACAAGTGTCATTGAAAAATGGTTCGAGTCAAAACATCTGGATATGCATTCTACACCTTCATCTAAAAATGACCGTATAATGATTTCTTGAGCACAAGACAACATGGCGAATAAGAAACGCCAGCTCTACTGATGTCAGTTAACTCTTCCCCATTATCGCTTCAAGCACTCAGCGATGCTGCAAAACTCGTTGCTCTTCCCTTAGAAAAGCCGGAATAGAGACGAAAACTTAAATTTCTGCTATATGCTCTTAATTTTGTTTTTTGTATGTGTTGTGATGTTCTGTTTAACAGCGCGGGCACGCTGAGCATTAGGAAGCATAGCCTTTTGATTATTCTTGGAATAATACACATACATGAAAACAAGATCTTCCTTGACTGCTTAGGAAGGCCTGCGTTTACATATATTGTTTATTAAAAATCACTCTCAAAAATATTTAAAAGAATAACCAGTTTTTTTTTTTTTTTGGTGCCGTCAGTATATTGGCCTACAGTGTTTCGTAATAGTTGCGCAGTTATCACTATTGGCTGAATAGTTCATCTTGATATGGTCTCTACAAGAGTTTAAATTGACCAGCAGGGTGCTGAACAATTCATTTACTTCCAAGATTGATTACGCAATTGCCGTTAGGTTGGGTAATAAAACAATTTAACGCACCACGTCAGAAGCATTTGCTAAATCGGGGTTGAATGCGTTTGGGATTATTGACGTAGTTCTCACTGGAGTAGTAACTATGTGAGTTTACTGGAAATCGCATAGCAACATTACGAATTCGGCGTTTCCTTAAACGGACTCCTTAGGACAAGGAGCGGATGCTAAGAAAATGAACATTGTCTCACAAGGAAACGGGTCTCGTCTTCTTGTCCCTTTGTTGTCGTTCTGAGCTCAAGCTATAATCATCATCTTGTCAAGCACCACACTTCCGGGTGATAGATTCTACAAGAACGTCATTCAACGCCCCACGCGGCATTTACCTCACTGCACATCCCATTAATCACATCGGTAAGTGTTCGCTTATAATCGACTTGAAACAGACGTACACAATATATATCTGCATTCAGCCCCATTTAACCCAAAACAACTAGCTAATGAATCACCGGATCGCCTAATTCCCGAGTATGGCCCTGTCGTATGCAACCCCGACAAAATATCTTACATAAAAAATTTCATCTTTTGACAAGAAAGCTATGTGCTTCATTTATTGTCGCTGTGGCGGGTATTTCTCACCTAGTTCTCATTATCATCGTGTACAGCTTACTAGTTTCTCTCATCGTCGTTCCGTCGAATCTTCGAAGTTTCCTTATACTTTGATTCACTCATAATGACTTCCTCTACTTAGCAACTACGTCACACCAACTTGACCTACATTCACCAGGCAGCATTGCAAATTGAGTGCGCCTTGTTTTTGTCACTCTACTGACGCGCTTAAATGTAAGTATTTACCCCAGTAATAACGCAATAGCGTTAAAAAACTTGTTTCACAGGAATTCCAGTGGCAGTGTCAGCGTCGTTGGTTGTGAGAGAAAAATCGCCTTCTCTGTGACCGAAAACACGAGAAAGATGAAAATAAATGAATAATAGAAACTTTTCTTCCGAGTAACGATCGAATCCTGGCTGTTTGCGAGGCAAGCAGGTGTTCGCCCACAAAGCGGCGCGTCTGCTTGAAAATGCAGTGAAAAGAACTTCCTGTGCTTGGAAAATTCAGTGAAAATAATGGATTTTTTACCAGCACACGCGTCCTGTGGACACGCTTCACCACACTACATGAAACATTGCAGTAATATTACGAGTTGCAAGTGTGCATTGCCATCGGGCGTCAGTACATGCGATTATCATTACAAATTTGTGTTTGAAAGCTCGTCCCCCATTACAAAAAGCACACGCGTTAAGGTTGGTTAACACCAACGACTAGCACCAGTCATGCGAGCATTGGCGACTGCCGACCAAAAAGCGACGGATGTTCACAGCGGGTGAGGCAGCATGCGAGCAACCGCAAGTGGCAAAGCCGGAGAGCCACGTCCGGATCTCGTTATCAGAGAGGACTCTGGAGACTCCCGCCGATCAGCTGACCAGGATATCGCCGCCATGCAGCCGAGTGAGCGGAGCGCACTGAGCGAGCCGCATTTCTAGGAGTGAAGCTCCTTATGGCGTGAAGCTCCGTCCATCCTCCGTCGTTGTCATACGTAGCCACCGGGATGCGAGATGGGGGATGGCGGTACATGGAATGTTCAATGAATGGACGCACGGACGGACGTATGGATGAATGGACA